CACAGCAAGTCTGGTTTCAAATGTTATTTTCTATTGGCACAACACAGGTAACGTTCAGAATTATTTAACATTGTCCTAACAAAACATCCACTCTGACCTGAAGACATGAAAGAAGTGTTTGATCTCTACATTCATTTAGACCTCGGCCCCTGAGCCAAAGCAGGGTGCCAATTAATGTTAAAAGATGCTTTAATGATGCAGGTGTTCACCCACTGGGAACAAGGCTCTTAATAACACTGCAGAGTACTAAAGCCTGGTCTACAGCAAAACCTACCTTGATTCCTGTAGTCTCCAACACCTACCAGATTGGCCGAACCACCAGAGAAACAGAATCAACCAGCAGCACAATCAGTTACTGTTTCAGCTGCTGGACAGCTAAAACTAAAGTCACCTTCAGGGGACGCAAGGCGCAGATTTGGGCTGTTCAACCTCCCCGACTCTCACGTGGCACTTTTAAATCACGCTCATTTCCAAACTTGCACGAGGACAGCTTCACTTCCCAGGGATAAGCACTTGGATGCAGACAGGCACCCAAGCAGCTATTTCAAGTGAAATCATGGCCTGTAGTTATCTATCAAACTGCCTGCCAACTGGGCACACTACCTTAAAGAGGCTGCAAAATTAGCAGGCTACTACCAAGTAGGCTCCACAGGCAAAACAAAATTGCAAGACACTCTAGAAATAATTCCCAAATCTTTGAGACATGGAATCAGAACACCTTTCACATTGCCAATTTTTGGGTCAGACCTGAGTTAGGCAGATAGCAATATATAATTACATGGTAACACAACAAGGAACAGGAATTCTGTATCAGGTATTAAAGCAAAACAATATGTAGAACAAATACTTCGAAAAATAATTATTCTCCCTGGAAAAATAGCAAAATCAGATTTGCAGAGTTATTTGTAGTATTCTGGGAGAAGCTTTAAAATAGAACCTTTTCATTAAGTACTGACTCTTCGTTTGACAGACTCAAGATCCCTTTGTTTCTAGAGAAACAAAGACAAGGCTTTGTTCCTTTCCTTGTTTGATTCTTAGCATCCTTGCTGTGGTGTCCTACCCTCTGGGGGAATAAAATATCTAATGAATTTCTTAGCACCAGAATTGACTGTAGCCACAGTGGATATTTATAAAGTAGCAATTCCAATTAGTATTGTTACATTAGGGTGGGGGATTTATTTATACTAGGTTTTTGTATTAATTCCTGTGTACTCAGACTTGTGGTACATTCATTCAATTTTTCCCAAACATCATGAATTTTAGGATCCATTGTATACGTACTTTCATTCTGCACTGAATTAATGTGCTATAGCATTCAGATGAATCCATCAATGTTCAGCACTAATAACACAGCACCTTTCAAAGCGATCTGTTTATCCCTAGCTCCTCTAGTGCCCTGGGATCCAGAAGCCACTTAGGCAGTCACAGGCTACCAGCAACATCCACTCGCAGCTCCGCTCTCCCGGAGTCACATACCCCTCACAGCAGCATACAGCAACCATAACTTGAGGAAAACTCATGTACCTGCACAATCACAGTTCACTTCTGCACTAAGAAAAGGCACAAAAATTACCAAGAAATACGAGCAAACATGAAAGCAGACAAGGAAGGAAAAACCACAGCGTTGCTCAATGCCACAACAAGAAGGAAGCACTTCAATTGAATGCTAAACACACAAGGACACGGGCAGGACCTTGGTGATGCTCCAGTTACCTGTCGCAACTTCACAGCCTCTGCTTTGTGGGCATGCTAATACCCTGCACTCTTCTAAAAGTAGTGGTTTGGACTATGTGCAATTTGGAGATATGCCAGTTTACCTAGCGATGAGGTTTTAAACTAATTTACCTTACATAAATTGATGTAAAATTATATGGACATGTCATCGAGTGTAAGCCTGTTAACTCTGTCCAGGAGAGGTCAAATTTAAAACTGAAAGAAGTCACTGCAACTCCAAAATAAGCCATCTGACAGACACTTTATTAGTCTCAAGAAATAATCTGCATATGAACATCCACTCTCTATTAGTACTTGAGTACAACACAGCTACAAACACAAGGCTCCTCACATGCGCACTCTCAACTGCATAATAGCTTTGAACCATATAAAAAGATCTGAAATACTTTAGAAGGCGCTTTGCTTCATGAATTTAAAATTAAAAATCAAGTTATTTTCCTGACTTTCAAGGAGATACCCTAATAACAAAATTTTGCTCTTCCTTTACAAAGCTATCCCACTTAGATCTACATTTTATATATAAATATTGACTGATGACAAAAGACTTCTGAAAAAAAAATCCCTTTTCTTCACACGTATTACTGAGAAGTTACTCATACATGAAAAATTGAGGATTTAGTATGAATGAAAATCTTTTAAGTATTTTAGTACCTAAACCCTAGTGATATATTCCAGAGATCAGCCACCAAAGCAGGTAGGAGTCAAACTGGAATTTGCTTGGAATACAGATGGACAAACAACCAAAGGGCTGGATCCAGCCTGCAGAGCAGGCTTTTATTTGGCCACTGGCAATGCCTGCTAGCCAGCTACTAGACGAGCCAAGTCCAGCCCATCAGTCAGACAAGCAAACTGGGGATACTGCTAGGAACAGAAAACTGAAGGAACTGAAGTTTGGCTAACAGGGTTTACAACTAGGTCAGCTCCAGAATCGCAAATGCAGCTGTATCTTTTTCAGGGACAGCTCAGCTCAAGAAGCAATACAGCCACTACAGAGAAGAGAAAGGCACAGATGGGACCTTTAAGACTGCAGCCAGTGCAGTGAAAAACCAGCTCAGGTATTCCCAACTACAATCACCCAACCAGAAGAGTCAGAGTTAAATGCACAGGCAAAACCACAGAGCTGGGCTGGGTGCAGAAGAGCTGGTTACCTGAGTCATCCCCATCCATGCCAGCCTCAGGCTGGCTCCTGCAGAACCATTCGGGTAATTCTGCACTGAGCACCCAGCGCGCCAGGAAGGTTTACTAGCCCAAGTGTCACCCAGCCACATGTAACCCAGCACCACAAACACCACCTGCCTCAAAGCTGGAGATGAGAGAAGAGCAAAAGTCTTTCTGACTGTACTGACACTGGGACAGATTTGATGTGTTTGGTCAGACTTAAGCTGCCCCATTCAGCCAGTTGTGTCTGCTCCTGATCCTAGCACCACAGCAAAAGGACATTTAGACCAGCTCTGTGCAGCGAAAATATGTCAGAGAGGATATGTTAGTTCCATCTAACTAGTACCACCTTGAATACAGCAGTAAACCGGACACACTGCTTCCAGATTACAGCTGTCTCCAGCACCACTATAACCATGTCTGCAATCTGACTTAATAAATGCTGTCAGGCCCCATTTAAGTCCAAATTCCTAGCTCTGCTTTCCCCTTGAGGTAATATCTCCACCCCATACTCACTCTGAAAATTCCTGCAGCTCTCTAGGACATGTGGCAAGCAATGGAGCCTGGGCGGTCACCTGCAAGGCCAACAGACTCCCTTGGAACTTGAAATAATTGCAATTCTGGCACAGAGACTCTCCGTTGGCTGAAACCACATAAAAACTAAGACAACTGAGTGGACCAGTATCAACTCTGAACAGCTGAGGAGCTCTTCAACATCTTCCCCCGCATTCCTCATGGTACCAGTATTATCAGTTTCATTCATTGCTGGGGCTAACTCAGCCTCATATGTTCCCAAATAACGCAATTGCACATTGCAGATTGCTTATTGCTTTGCCACTAATTGCGACAATTGCCCTCAGTAACTCTCTGACTATATGGGGCTCTCAGGCTTAGCAAGTTCAACTCAGGTTTCATTTTTTGACATTATAATTTAAACAGATTACGTTATTAATAGTTTAAAATCAAACTGTTTATAATGCAGAAAGAAATCCACGTGCTGGTCTGTTACAGTCACAAAATACAGTTCTCCTCAGAAATGGCTCTGGATGCACAGGCTGCACCCCTTAGATTTGATCCTTATGATTCTGAGGGAAGGTAAGACACAGGACAGTTGGTGGCTTAGCATTGCTGCCCCCATGAACAGTTCCCAGAGTATCTTCCTATTTACATCTTCCTCTTTTCACTCACAGTGGGCAATGCCAGGTTAAAGGTTGGCACAGACGATCTCAGAGGTCTTTTCCAACTAAATGGTGCCATGACTCTGGGGACTTTCCTGTGCCCAGCTTTCCAATACCCAGAGTTTCAACACTGGACTACACATTTAGGTTATTTGTTGCTCTTATTAGGAAAACAGGAGAAAGTAACATAAAACGTAAGATTCTCTATATAAATCCAGACTTTCTGCTAGCAAATTGGAAGCCACCAGATTTTAATCTACTTTAGCAGGAGCGTTTGCAACAGTTACAGTTACTTTGCAGGGTTGCAAAGGAAAGCCCACACGGCCCTTTACCTACTACCTCCAGACAGATCAACACTGAGAAGCGCTCAGCGAACGCTAAATCCACGATTAAAGCAATTCACGGAGAAGAGAGGGGATGGTTTTATTCAGCACAGAAACAACTCGCTGCCTGCACCCACACCCCTTCCCCTCTTCCCTTTCTGTCGCTCCACTCCCACCGCCCCACACCGGCCGTTTATTCGGTTGCTCCGCAGCCTTTAACCACGCACCCCCCCCGGGCTACGGGCAGGAGGCACACGCACACCCCAAAACGTCTGCGGGACACCGGAAAGCCCCGAGGCTTCCTCACAGTTAGCCCTGGGATAACCCCCGCCGGGCCAAACCGCGACCCGAGCCGGCGGCGAGCCCTCCTCTCCCCGGGGCCGAGCCGGGGCAGGCCGCGGCCCTCCCGCCCCGCTCCCCGCCGCCGTTACGCGGCCGCCCCCCGGCAGGTGCCGCCGCACAACGGCGCCTCCCGGCCCGCTCCGCTCTCTCGCTTCTCCCCCGCGGCCGGAAGCCACCGGGGCAGCCGCAGCGAGCGGCGGGGCGGGCAGGGCACGGGCTGCCCCCGAGCGGGGGCAGGGGGAACCGCGCCGGGCAGCCGCCTCACCGAGACCCGCTCCTGGGGCTGCGCGGGGCCGCGGCCGCCCGCCGCTGCCGGCCCTCCGTCGCCTCCGTCCGCCATCTTGGGAGCGAAAGACGCGGCCGCCGCCGCCCGCCTCAAGCTTCCGCCGCCCCCGGGCCCGCTTCGCCGCCCGCCCCTCACCGCGGCTCGGCTGCGCCGCGCAGGCGCCGCCCGCTCCCTGCGCAAGCGCCGCGGCACCGAGCCCGGCCCGGCACTGCCCCGGGGCCAGGAGGTGCCCGGCAGGAGGGAGCCCGGGGAGCGCCGTGAGGCGAGGCGAGGCGGGGAGCCTGCTTCCTGCCGCGGGAGGCCGATCTGGATCTGTCGGCACTGTGAGGAGAACGGTTTTAGTAATTTTAATGCTCCCTTAAAATACATTTGGGTAGGTTCTTCTTACTTCAGCAGACTAAGGTCACCCGTTTGGGCTACAGAAAAGCAACATTTTACAAACTCTCTCACACAAGTGTAGGAGACCTCAGTATCTCTAGACACATACCTTGTTCCAAAATCAAAATTTTTCCTCCCCACCTTCCTGTTACAGTGTATTATAACTGTTCAGTGTACTCCGGATTTGCTTCTCTGACAAGATGAGGGCATTTAGGGACTTGACCCGTATGTGACAGAGCTGACCTAAGCGCTGCTGGACGTTTTCCAGATTGCCACAAAACAATTCAGTTGCACGTTCCCCTGTTTGTACCTTTCTGGGGCTGCAGAAAAAAAATAGGCAAATAGCCATGGCTTTGGACCCTACAGGCATACACACTAACAACCTATTGAATGCCTAGTATTTCTGTTCTGAAGAAAACTACCTTATTTCATTACAGCCTTACCGCTTCAAGCCTCCAAGCAACTCGCACATTCTTCAAATACCGCTGCGGATGGCATAACATTTTCAGGTGAACATTTCAGGTATATTTGTTAGATTTTCCTCAGTGCATCGGGCCAGAGATACTCCCAAAGCTTTTCTTATGTCGTAGGAACACATAATTGTACCTTTCCATGGTAGCTTCATACCCATTTTTTATTGAAATGCTCTAAAATACAGTCAGCAGCAGATTGAAGGGGCATGACGAGAACAACCATATGTTAGGGCACGTTTTAGCAAAATTGTATCATGCTACCAGATGAGAAAGATTCAAGAAAACATAGTCTTGAATCTTTGTTTGCCAGAAAGTCTGTTAAGTACTTATGATTTCAAAGATATATAAATTGCGGATGAAGCAGTCTTACCAATTCTCCTTTGTACATTCCACTGACAAAGCAGGTGACACATAGGTGGTCAGTCTTCTATACCAAAAAGAGTCAAACAACTAGGAAAACGTACATGAAAATGGCATAAAGTAATATTAATTTAGTAACAATTATGTTATTGTACCTGGGGAAGGCCAATAGAGGAGCCCAATTTGAATTAGATGTCTTGAACAGAGCAGATTTAAAGTAAACTGAAGAATTAACATGGTGTATAGAAATCTTGGGAGTAATTATGAGAAGTCACTGCACATTTATTTATCTTACTGAAATCTGTCACTTAGAATTACTGTGTATATATTGTATCTGTGTCAGCATTAGCCACAGAATATGAAAAACTGACTGAATTTTGTAGCTTTACTCATTGCCAATGAGCCAATTAAAAATCAATACAGAGCTTCATCTCTTTTTCTTTGAATGTATTGCAAATTTGTACCCAACCCTATCTGACAGCACAGCTGACTGGTAACCAGCAGTGCTGTTTGTGCAACAGCCAAGTTTAGACTGCAACTGCTATGGATTTTGAAGAGTCCTCCTCATGTTTTAGTATCAACACCAGCAATTGTATAATCAAGTTTCTGATGTAGTCCAGCAAGAGAAGCAAGGCTGTGATGCCAAGATAGCAACAAACAAGCTGAAGCAGCAAGAGGACTGCCGGCAGTCCCCTCTGCTGTGAGGCAAACATCTTGTGTGGCTGCATCTTTTAGCTGAACTATTGTTACAATTTTGTTTAACTATGAGACTTTTAGAAGAAGTTATGCTAATATAAACCACCTGCTTTAGATGAACAAGACTATAGACTTTTAAACAAAAAAAAAAAAAGAGGAAGACCTGGAATTTACTTATGCTAGGTAGGAGACAGCAAACTAAGTGACAATAAACCTTTGAAATAACAAGTTTACACTAATACACAGGCAGAAATGGCACAAAACAGTAAAATCTCAACGGATACTAAAATAATAGAGGGAATAAGAACAAAATGGGAATTCAGATAAGTTGTAATAGAGAGAATGCTGAAGCTTGGCACTCCTGTTTGCTAGAGCTGAAATAAAATGGTAGAGCTTCAGGAAGAAACTGAGCAAAGTAGGAAGATTACCAGGAGGACCGATTGCTAACTCTTGGGTTACAAGTTGATGTCTGGAGGGTTGAGATGCATTACACAGACAAACAAGGTGGGATCCACCTACCAACAAACAAAAACAACTAAATATATATATGTATTAAGTTCCACAAAAGAGCAAATTTAGCAAGAACATCTGGAAAAGGGTGTAATATGTTAATAAAGCTTGGTGTTTTGTTTTCTTTGATCAATGCTAAGAAATTAAATCTTTGTCCTAAAAGAAATTAATGAGGAGTGTCAGGGTAATGAAAAGTAATACCAAAGTAGAAAGTTCTAAGTCTGAAAAGTTTGTAATGCTACATTAAATAGCAAACTGATGTGGCAGAAGCTTTTTCAGCTAAATTCCTGGTAAGACTGTTGGCAAAAAGAAAACAGCAAACGCAGACAGTTAGTGAAAGAGCAAAGAGTGAATTAGCAATTACGAAACCGTGTAGTTGCCCTGGCAAGGTTTAACATGGTGTATGTGGAAAAAAAAAGGCCCTAAAAAAGGCTCCTAAAGGCCCTAAAATGAATTTTTAAGTCAGGAGCAAAAGAAGTCAGTCAGCTTTCTGCGCGGTGACAGAAAGCCAAGAGAGAGTGTCGGTGTGCGGGGCTGGGTGGGCAGCGGGACGAGCCACCCATCTCCTCTCCTTGCGCTTCTATCGTCCCTGCGGCGACAGCCCCGCCGGCGGGCGGAATTCCCCTTAAAAACACCAAATCCGGCAAACCCCGGGAGGAAGCGGGCAGCTCCCCCCACAGAGGGGGCCGGCACGGGTCCTCCCAGCCAACCATAGAGGCGCGGCAGGGGGCGGCCCGACGGGCGGCGGAAGTGCTGAAGCCAGCGGCGCTGCCCGGCGGCGGGCAGCGGAGGCCGCCTGAGGCGGCGGCGGCGGGATGCTGAGGGTGGCCGCCGCGCTGCTGGCAGCCGCCGCCGCCGCGCTTCTGCTCGACTGGTACGCGCCCGCGGGGGCTCCGCGCCCGGCTCCGGTGGGACGGCGGCGTCCCCGAGCCCCTCAGCCGGCTCCCGGCGCGGAGGTGGCCAACCTGCTGTGGGCAGTGCAGGTGAGCGGGCAGCGGGGGCGGGTAACGGCTCGGCGGGGCGGGGGGCGCCGCGCTGAGGGGGCTCTGTGGTGGTGGAGGGCGCTGCCCGAGCCCCCCGTGCTGTGAGGGGCTCGGCTGGGCTTGGCACGGCTCGATTTGGGCTCGGTTTGAGCAGGAGCTGCGGCACCTCCGCCCCGCTGCTGTCCCACAGGTGTCCGGCCAGCCTGCTAGGCTGCCCGAGAGGTAAGGTGTATGTGGTTATTAAAGCTCTCCTAATTGCTGCGTTATCTCCTATATTGCATCAGTACCCTACCCTGCATTATATAATGTTTTACTAGGAAATCCAGCTTGCCGCTCTCCTCTTCCAAAGTTCAGGAAAGTTGTGATGGAGAAAATATTACACGTGGTTTCTTGTTTTTAGCATCAAGACGTGCTGGACCAGTACACGAGTGATGCCTGGTTGGTTTTACACACACATAGCCTTGTTTCCAGGTTGGATGTGAGATACTTGTTAATCTGGCATGGTCTTGGAAGTGAACTGTCACACCTGGGTGCTTCTGTGGGCTCCTGCCTGACTCTGCTCCCCACAGCATTCCTCGAGCACTTAGTGTATAACTAATCATAAGCCTTTACATATTTGCAGGCAATTGACTGCTGAGATGTCACAGAAGTTGCTGTGCAGCTCCTTCTAACAAATAGGCTGCTTCTGCTATTTCCCTTCTGTTCTAAAACTCAAGAGCACTTTCTCTACATGTATTAGCCGCAGGCACCACTCAGCGTGTAAGCCGGTGTATTATTAGTCCTTTTGTTCTCTCCAATTGCTGTGTATTTTCTATTTCCAGTAATTTTTCCTTAAGTGACTTAAGGCTTATCTTTACTGCAGAACAGATTTCAAAATGAGAGGCATGCTTGAATTAAGGTAGATAAAGCCTCTGTTTTGAGTTTTTAATCTTAAAGAGTCAACTATGGCAGCGTATAACAGCTCCAGAGCTATACTGACAAGCAGCATGCCCAGCTCCGTACTCCTCTTGCCATCTTCTCTCTGGTTAAGTTACATCCAGTGGAGTTCTCCCAAGGATAGGTCACAGCACAGCTAATTTGAGACTTGGCTTTACTTTCAAGTGGCTCTGTTCTCTTTCAGACATGCCCTTTAACAGCTGCTTTATCATTGACCTAACTTGGAAGTTAATCAAGCACTAAATCCAACATTGTGCCAGATTATGTTGTGGGAAACAGGCTTCGAGCTCCCTGGTGACTCAACAGGTCTAGCCTAGGCCATGGGATCAAGTTCTTCCCCAAGCAGTTCCTGCCGTGTTTTTCCTCTCATCCACAGGAACATCTCCTCTGAATGTGAACTAAATTACCATCTCTGTACTATAACCTTATATTAAGGGCTCTTTCACCTTTGTTGTAGGAAAAATGCTTTTCTTACATAGTACCTAATAGGCATTCTAGACAATAATGGGCAGCAGTAAACTGCTGTTTGGGACAAGGTGTCATTTTTCTCTCTTTTCCAGGTGTCAGATATTCATATAAGTAGATTTCGGGATCCCAAACGTGCTACTGACTTTGAAAAATTCTGTTCTGAAACAATTGATGTAATTCAGCCAGCACTTGTTCTAGCAACAGGTAAGCATTTAAGAAGTGTCATTTTCCTCTTGAATGTGTTGCCAAAGGAAGAGCAAAAAAAGCAAAGTTTTCTGATCTCAAAATAGAGCCTTAAAGTTATAAGGTATCTTAAGCAGTGGAAGTAGAAGTGCAGGTGAAAGTAGATTGATAGCAGCAGAAGAGATTAACTTGTAAATGTAATGGGGTTAGTTTTTGCTTAATTATCTTGAATTCGGTGGTGAATTTAGAATATTATGTATAACTGAGATATAATCATGGAATATAGCTATTGTTTTCTCCCCATATTTGTCACTAAACCTTGGTTGTGATTAGTAGTTATCTTCTTTCCTAGTAGTGATTCTATGTCATCCTTTGCATGTGAAGTTAGAGAAGTGAG